GAATTTTCACAGTGATCTTGCTTATTTATGAATGAACGGCTCATTTTAAAATCTTCCCGGTCTATTGCCATTTAAGACATCTGCTTTAAACATTGCAATCCTCATGATAACTTTCGGTAACTTTACATGAAGTAAATCCACTTCGAAAGCAAATTACTCCTGGACAGCAATGCCAGAGATATACAGAGCGGCCGCAAAGACAAAATTCTAAAGATGGCGGCGCCCTTCTTTCTCTGGTGCATATGTTCCATAGTAGCTACCAGTGACCTTAGTGTACACTGAATGGCCGAACGCACGTAAAACACCAGCACCGCCATTTAAAAAAAGCTATGTAAACACCAAGGTGCAATTTTTCTGGTCTCTATCTTTAATCCAACACCAAAGTCACATTTATTTATATAGCGCTTTTCACAATATAGATTGTATCAAAGCAGCTTCACAGTGAGAACAAAGTGGCCAAAAAATGTGTTTACTGCCTGGTGCAAAAAGTGGTTTTGGTCTGTATAGCTGCTGTCTGTTAGTCTCATGTCCCTTCAGCTAATCCCGCCTTTTGCCCATTTTTGTTTATCCGAGAATGACACGCTACCAAGATGGCGACGGCCAGCTCCGCCCACTTTTGGGATTCAAAAATGCTCTTCAGAAACCTATGGGTTTCTTTTTTTTCTTTTCTTTTTTTTACTGTCGGTAATCGCACAGATTTTGAGGGGACCAAGAGAAACATGATTTCTGCTCAGCTAGCAACACCACACAGTGGTGCGCTAATAACCTTTCAAATACTGTCTACTTTCTGTGTATAATAGTTTAATCTAATAACCAATGTGAGCCATTCAAGCGCTATATTCTCAGCCTCTGCCATTCTCACCACCGCCAAAATAAAGATCACTTCAGAGTTCCTACTGGCGCTGTGAATGCAACCAGGAAAATGTTCCTAAGGGAACTATTATTTCTCAGAGAATCATCCTGGTGGCTAGTTCCTCTAACTAAGTTCCTAAAACTACCCGGTGCGAAGGACTAGCATAACGGTGATTACCACAAAAATGTATTTAGACTCGTCCCTTCTTTTCAGTAAAACAGTTTAAAATCTAGGCTTCCTTGGTTTATCTAGGTAAGCCACTTCCAATGTAAGTGAATGGGTCAGTCTATAGCACAAACAATTTTAGAGTGAACACTGCACAAAGTTATAGTATATATAGATTTAAAACTTTGTTGCCATGAGAACATAAATTATGAAATTAAACTTTACGGGTCAAATAATACACGTTTCAAAAGAAAAATTATTTAGTGTTTTTTTTTTTTAATATGCTGTTGATTGAGCCTAACCAAAATATTTCTTTAAAGGAGAACTCTGGCGAACAATGAACATTTGGTCTAATAAAACATCGGTACCTAGTCAATCGTTCTCTGAGATTTGTTTTCATGATAATCGAATGTAAAGAGTTTTATCTCTAAAAACTGTTTAGCGTATAATGCTAGCAATGGGGGCATTGACTAAGAAAAAAAAATCGCTAGTTTATACCACTAACAAGGCTCAAAATAGCCCCACACTAACACAGCAACATAATAAGGCTCCATACATGCAAAACGAAGCATTGAGAACTTTGTAAGTGTACGGACCGTTTAATAAGAAGATACTTTATGAAGACAGTCCACTTCGCGTATACAGACAGAAGCCATCTTAGGAAATAGTCTCGATAAGGGCCGGTTCACATATTGCGTCTTTTGCGCGCTCAAGTTCGTTATTTCAAATGTAGGCGCGCGGTATGCGCGCTCATAATGGAAGCGATGCGGTCGCGGTGCGACGCGCTCGTTTTTTCCATGCGCATCCGCGCCGCGTCGAGATAAAAACATCTCAACTTTTCAGAATACC